TGTCGTAGATCTCGTAATTTCGCTCGGTTTCGGTCAATGCATGCGAAATAAATGCGATTGGGCGCCAAATGCCGTCTTGGTTTTGGCTCAAAACGGATCCTGTTGCCCCTTCCGAAGCATCGGCTTCCAGACGATATTGGCCAGTGTCATTTGGCAGTGCTAGGACCGCATCCTCCGCGATTCTCTTCTTCAATCCATCAAATGCCGCATGCTCATCTGCACCCCATGACCATCCTGCCTTTCCTGTCAGCCGTGTCAATGGCTTGGCAACCTCCGCGTATCCCCGGACAAAGCGCCGATAGAAGTTTGTGAACCCTAGAAACGCTTGGACTTGTTTGACGCTCTTTGGTTCCGGCCATTCCATCACGCCCTTGATCTTGACTGGGTCCATCCGCATCGAATTGTGTCCAATAATTACACCCAAATATTCGATTTCCGTGCGTTCGAACTCGCACTTTTCGGGCTTCAGGTATAGCTTGTGTTTCTGGAGTAATTCGAGCACTCGTTTCGTGATCCGCCGATGTTCGTCCAAGTTCTCTGTAAAGATCAGTATATCGTCCAGATAGACTACCACGTGTCCCTCGTTGATCAGTTCTCGGAGTATGTCGTTCATCATGTTTTGGAAGGTAGCCGGGGAGTTCGTGAGACCAAAGAACATGACCAAGGGCTCGTACAGTCCACGGTTCGTGCGGAACGCAGCCTTCCACTCGTCACCCTCTTTGATCCGTACGTTATTGTATCCCCATCGGATGTCGAGCTTGGTGAAGAACTTGGCGCCGCATAGATTATGGACCAGTTCGGAGATCAGCAGCAGCGGGTATCGATTCCGGATTGTCATCTCATTCAGCTTCCGATAATCTTGGACGGGGCGTAGCGCGCCATCCTTCTTCTTGACAAAGAAGAATGCTGATGCCATGGGTGATTTCGATGGCCTGATCCGTCCGCTGGCCAGGTTCTCTTGTAAGAACTCATCCAGTTTGACCTGCTCATTTCGCGATAATGGGTACACCTTGCAGTCCACTGCTTTGGAACCGGGTTTGAGCTCAATCGCATGATCCCAGGTTCGTCGGTCCGGTAGCGAGTCGAATGATTCCTTGGCAAATACTTTGACGAATTCCCGGTATTGATCCGGAATTTTCCCTTCGGTCATCCTCTCCTTCTCTTTTTCCGCTTCTTCTGCGAATTTCTGCGCCGGTGTTTCCTTCAGCCGTAGATCTACCTCCTTTCCAAAGTCGATCAGCAGGATCGATTCTCCCTCTTCCAGATCCGGTGCGCTCGTGTCCAGGTCGATTGCATCCATGTCAATCATCGCTTGGTGTTCCTCGTGACCCCTCATGTGACACCGTTCTGGGCATCGGCTGAATCTCATCGTTTGCTCCTGCCAATCCACCTCCGGGTTGTGTTCCGTCAGCCAGTCAAGACCAATGAAGATCCGGGCCTTCCCCAAGCACGTCAGAAGGAACGTGCGTGTCTCCACGTGAGGACCAATTCTCATCCTTAGGTCAACGTAATGCGTGATCCGGCCGCTGATGTTTTCGGTGTTGTCGGCGTTACGAGCCACAATGGGTTGGGGAAGTTCTTGGATATCCAGCTTCTCTGCCCGCGCGTAGTCGGTATCGATGCAGCAGGTGCTACAGCCACTATCGAGTAGCGCCTTGACTCCGCGCGTCTTTCCTGAGTCCAGGCCTGTGATCTGGACATATACGTCCATCGAATGTCTCTTCCTTTTGGCCTGGTAGTTGCGCAATTCCTGCGCCAGTCTGCTGGGCTGGGGGCCCTTCTGTCTCTCGGCTGCCCATTTCCTTTGAACGGCATCCGGCACCCTTGTGCGTTTGGGTGCTTCTGGAATCCTGATTTCGGCAGATTCCTTGGGCGCTTCCTCCTTTTTCAAGGATTGAGCCTCCGGAGCGATGCTCCCCTTTTCGGTCTTTGTTGACGTGGTTCCTTCTCCACGAGCCATAAATACGTAGGAGTCCAAAATTAATTTATCCGCAGCTTTCTGATCCTTTTTACTTTGTAAATACTCTCTATTTAAAACTATTTTTCTTTGTCGTTCCTTTTCCATATCAGCAATGAGAAAATCATGAATATTGGTACGTAATGAGTCCGAGATTGTATATGTATGTGTAGAATCGTTCATGTCTTTAATCGAAACAAGTACAGAAAAACGTCCATAGTCCGGACACTCCACCTCCTTGGCTAGAGGAGTGGAGCGCTTCAAAAACCCTTCTCGCGCAGCTTCTCGGCGATCTCCTTCAGGAACTCGTTGTCCTTGTCCCCGTTCTCGATCTCTTCTAGCATTGTGGCCCGATTGAAGAACGTGCGCTTCTTCTTGGGCTCAGGGCAGTTCCGCGCAATGTGCCCAGGCTGCTGACAGTTGTAGCAGATGATATTGCGGCCACGGGCGTGGGTGCGATCGATCTCCATCGGAACCGGCTCATTGGCCGCTGGTCGGGCCGGAGCGGGTGCAGGTGCTGATGGTGCAGCCTGAGGGCGGAATTGGGGTGGAGGCCGCGGAGTTGAGTGCGCATAGGATGCCTTACGCAGCTGATCGCGCAAGGCATTGGCCTCGATGTTGACGCACCAGTTCTTGAAGGCACCATATGCCTTGGGCAGGGGGACGCCGGTGTTGTAGAGGCGGCTTGCAATTTCGCTGCTGAGTCCGCGCTCGAGGAACTCGATGAGGATGTTGTCCTGATCCCCCTTCTTGTACTCGCCCTTGTCATCGGTTGAGGCGACCACGTTGTACCCCGCGTCCGCAGCCAGCATTTCGAAGTCAGAGATGTAGTCCGCGAAGGACCGTCTGCCCTGGCGAAGGGCCATGAGTCGGGCGGCAGCAACTTGCTCTGCGTTAGAATCCCCAAAGGCCCTCTGAAGCTCCTCCAAGAAGCTTGTCGCGGTGACTCCCGCCTTTAGTCCTTGGAAGCCCTCGAAATTGTGCTGCTTCCAGTTCATCGCCCATCTTGAGGCGGCGCAGCTTGTGCCGCTCTCATTGCGGAGGTAGGACAGGACGAAGAGGATTTTGGTCTCGTCCAGCGAGAACTCTGACCGATAGGCACCGATGTAAGTGGTGCACGCGTCCACAAAGCCCAGGTATTTGGACTTGTCGCCATCGAAGTGGGGGGGGTTGGCAGCGAGAGTGATGCGGTGATGTCCTGACATGGTAGGAGCAGGTGCGGTAGGTGGGGGCGAGGGTGGTTGTTCGGAGGGTAACTCGCCAAGGTCGGGGATCTCGTCTTCAGGCGGCGGGAGGGCGAGGTAGGGGTTGGAGGGTCCGGGTTCGTTTTGATGCGCCAGATCGGGCAACGATGGTATGATGGGGGGAGGGGATGGGCTCCCAGATGACGATGGGAATCGGTACGAAATGGTGCATTCGTGTGCTGTACAAGCACTCGAGGAAAGGTTCTTTTGCTAGCAAAAAGATCCCGGGCCTAGCTCTTCACGTGCCCGATGATCCCGAGGTGCGTTTTCCCGAAGGTCTCCGCAGCACTCCTTGTAGCTACCGTAAGGCTTGGGTCGGGCTCAACGTTACCCGTGGCCTGGTGCTGTTTGCTCGATATGAACCTTTCACTGCGATCGCAGCGAGCGACTAGATGATTCGGTAAAAGGGTGAGTGGGGTGGTAAGGGTGAAGAGGATATAGCGGGCGTAGCGGTGCACGGAGCAGGGTAGGAGGTAAGAGGTACGAGGGTATGAGGGCAGTCTTCGAATTATGTGACAATCAACCCAAAAACAAAGTCGAAAAGAGAAGTGAATTCGAAGACTGGAGAATACAACCAAGTAGCTACAGTATTTATACCCAAATCCAGTCTGAGTCATATCTACAGCTAATGAGTCATAGGGCTATGTACCACATGGAACGCTGGTCATGGGTTGTAGTAGAACCTTCCGGAGCATATGTCGCGCAGCCTTGAATCGATAGAGATAACCCCTGGAACCCCTAGCCCGGACCGTCTGATGCCGTGATCCGTGATAAGATAAGTCGTGCCAAGATAAGATAGGATTGTCGATGATAAGATGAAAAAGAGTCGAATTATGACAATGAACACATCTACCAAAATATCACTGTTCTACGCCAATCACGGATATCACCCATGGAAGGGAGTGGAGCAACGGATGGAATCAAGGAACGAGTCAGCAGAGGAGTTTGTAAAAAGAATCAAAGAAATACAAGACGAAGCAAAAACAGCATTGGAAAAAGCAAAAGAAAAAATGAAAAAATACTACGATAAACAAAGAAAAGAAGTTCCGGAGTTGAAGGTTGGGATGAAGGTGTACATAGAAGGGGAAAATATCGAGACGGATAGACCATTGAAGAAGATGAGCAACAAGAGATTAGGACCATACGAGATACTGGAGAAGGTTGGAGCGGCCGCATGGAAGCTGGATTTGCCGGACACGGACCGAAGACACCCGGTGTTCAACGAGTCACTATTGACACCATATCACGAACCACCCCCCCATCGCCGAGAGAAGAGACCCGTAGCCAAGATGATCGGAGGAGCAGAGGAGTGGGAAGTCGAAGAGATTGTGAAAGAGCGAAACGTCGGCCGAGGAAAACAGTACTTGGTCAAATGGAAGGGCTGGCCGCATAGCGAAAATACTTGGGAACCATCACGTCACCTTACCCACGCAAAGAAGATCCTGAGAGATTGGCAGAGGAAACAATCCAACCCAGACACACGCATTCGCCTCCTGCCAACGCTCGAAGCTGGACACTGGGATTATCTCATCCATCGCTACAAACCCAAGGACGAGCACCTTCCATATCCCCAACGACAACTCTTCGACCCTTACGAGAACGTCTTCACGCCCATTGGCCTAGTCGATGAGGACATCGACCCTAGAGAGGGGGTAATGTCATAATTCGACTCTTTTTCATCTTATCCTTGACAATCTTATCTTATCTCGACACAGATTATCTTATCGCGGATCACGGCATCTGACGGTCCGGGCTAGGGGGATAGGGGTCATCTTTATCGATTCAAGGCTGCGCGACATATGCTCCGGAAGGTTCTACTACAACCCATGACCAGTGTTCCATGCGGTACATAGCCCTATGACTCATTAGTTGTAGATATGACTCAGACTGGATTTGGGTATAAATACTGTAGCTACTTGGTTGTATTCTCCAGTCTTCGAATTCACTTCTCTTTTTGACTTTGTTTTTGGGTTGATTGTCACACCAACACTCAAAGCCGGACATTGGGACTATCTCATCCATTGCCACAAACCCAAAGACGAGCACCTTCCATATCCCCAACAACAACTCTTCAACCCTTATGAGAACATCTTCACGCCTATTGGCCTAGTCAATGAGGACATTGACCCTAGAGAGGGGGTAATGTCATAGTTTGGCCACTTTTTCATCTTATCATCAACAATCTTATCTTATCTTGGCATGACTTATCTTATCACGGATCACGGCATCAGACGGTCCGGGCTAGGGGTTCCAGGGATTATCTCTATTGATTTGAGGCTGCGCAACATATGCTCCGGAAGGTTCTACTACAACCCATGACCAGTGCTCCATGCGGTACATAGCCTTATGACTCATTAGTTGTAGATATGACTCAGACTGGATTTGGGTATAAATACTATAGCTACTTGGTTGTATTCTCCAGTCTTCGAATTCACTTCTCTTTTCGACATTATTTCTTGTTGATTGTCACAGGGGGTCCAGGTCAGAGGGTCATGTGGACATGCTTGGCAGGGAAGTCCAGACCAAAGCATGTGATGCTTGACAGATGGCACATGCACGGTCACATGCAAGATCCCACAATGATCGAACGAAAGCAGGGGTTCCCCAGACATATGGCTACAATCCAGAACCCCACACTTGTGTCGCAGGGTGCCGCAGACCTCTAGGGACTCACGTGTCAAATCACCTGAAGTGACCCGGGTTGAGACCCGACCCCAACCTGGTCTCTGACCCAACCTAACCTGGGACAACACTATTCACACATGCTCTGTTCTCATAAACTGCAAGGACTGGACTCAGGATGTATTGACCATGTGTTACCAGTAGCAACTCTAAGGGTGTGAGCTTTTTTCCGCATCAAAATACAATATCTCTGAGTCAAGATGAGTAAAAAAGTGTTCTGAAGGTAGGTTTGTGGTCTCAGGTCTAATTATTTTGGAATATGGAATATATATATATATATTACAGGAGCATTGAACAGCTAGACATTAATCTCTGGGAGACCACCTGGGACACATTGAGGGATGTGGAAGCCCAGGAAATGTGTGTTTATCATCGTTTGTAGATCAGGGTGTGTTTGCAGATCTAGGTCATTGATAGTACAATTCACACTAACAGGCACATGGTTGTGACTACATAATCTTTTTTTTTTTTTTTTGGTTGTGCGTTGGTTACGACCTCCGGCAGCTAATAATTGATTAGCCCCTTTGATCCGCAAAGTTGGAAAGTCCGAGGACTTCCCCCAAGGGTAGGAACGCTGTTTACGCGCGAATGATCACGAAGATCAAACAGTGTGGGACTCAATCACATGATAATACCCACCAAACCTCCCGCAAAGTGGATTTTTGACTGGGATTCGAACTTCTGCTCTCGCAGACCCAGGGTTCTCCGATTTACTCAGAGACCGCGTGTTGACCACTAGGAAAAGCAACCGCCGTTGTGACTACATAATCACCATCAATCATGTGACAAGAGAATATCATGGAAGTCAATAGAATGATATGGGCCCTAATCTCCACAGGTTGTTCACACGAATTGAAATCTGGTCCATGCCTTGTCAGAGCCGGCAAATGCTCAAGGAGAGGAAGCGATTACCAAGCTGACTGGGACGGGGAACTCATGGGAAGGAGGGAAGCTCGTCCCAAATGGACTGATACAGAAGGCCTGTCAGTGCCGTACATAAGAGACAGCAACCACACCGCATCTTCAGCCAGCCCCCGTAAGTACATGTACAAAATGCGGTGTCCCCTCGTGCATCTGCGAGGGCTTTTCAGTTGCACCGCTCAGAGTCACAAGCAATCCACGACAAAAGACCGCGCGCTTAGTGAGACCACGTCACTGGTGATGATGGCATCCACGTTCGCACCCCTTCAGCCTTTGTCCTCCTTTCGTCCGAACGCGAGTCCTGCTCAGCCGACTGAACCTTAAATACTTGGAACTATTGTCAGTCACATACACAATGAGCCGGACGGGGAAAATAGTTCCGCAGCTCGCCTTTGTTACGTAAATCGGTAGATGCCGGCAGGGTCTCGGCTGTGACGCGTTGATACCCCTCGCATCTTTCATTGGCGTGCTTCGTTTACCTCTTTCTAAAACTTCCCACCTCCCTTCAACTTCATCTTGCTCTTCCCCTTCCTCCTCGCTGGTCGACGCTTTTGTCCCCCGGCTTCTTCATGACCATACTCCATGAACACTGCCTCCGAACACCCTCCCACACCCCAACATGCCTACGGGACCCGCATCCGACACAATATTCGCATCAAGCCCCCAGTCAGGGGCCAGGACCCTCACCCCCAGCAGCGACCACCTACTAGCGCCGCAGAGTCCCATCCAATTCCCAACCCCTTTCCCCCTCCCCATGTCGTGCTCCACCCCGAAGATGCCGGTAGCAAGACCTTCCTTGCTATCGGTCGCGCTCTCATGTCGGTGGTACGTGCACGGATACCTATTCTTCATGTCGTATCGCTCATTGAAGCGTGCAGGACAATCACGCCATGACTATCAAGGACCTTGCCGAGATGACGGTACTCCAGGGGCTTCAGTGCCAAAAGTATGCCACTCAACTACACGTTCCGCCCATACTGCTAATTCACATTTAAGCGTCTCCGCCGCAAGCCAATCAATAACGACGTATATCCGGCAGCACAACGAGCGCTGTGACAAACAGCTGGACACCCCATTGCTCCTGAAACACGTTCTTTCAGGGACACCGGACGACGACGACCTTCTCCCTGCCCTCTACTCTCGATCGGGCGGTGCTCACAGTGGCATCAAGACGGACAATCGAATCACCAACTTCCGGCGCGGTGCTGTCGTTTGGTATCTCTCCGCCGCTACAGGGGCTCCTTGTCCTTTCGCCCGAGCCGGAATCATGCTGTGCGAGTACGGAGAGAACGGTCGTGGGTCCGAAGTGTCTCCAGAGAAGAAGAAGCAGTCATCGGTGGATAGTGGCAACAAGCGGAAGCGATCGCTGAGAGGCAACTGCATCGCAGCTGATTCAGATTCGGACTCGTCTATCGAGCAGCTCCAGCCCCGGCAGAAGGAAGTCAAGCTGAGCATTCGTCTACCCCCTCTGAGCGCATTAGTGCCGAGTTCTGTCACCTTTGCACTCCCCGCTGAAGACGAAGAGGCATCAAGTTCGGCTTCGGACGCAGACGAGTCTGACGACTCAATCGCAGAACAAGACGCGGCGGGTGAAGTCCCATGGTCTCTTCCCCCATATCCTCGACGCTCGATCTCCATTCCCTCGTCCAAGCCCAGCATTCCTGATGTTTACCCAGAAACCCCATTCTATCGTGCTTCTTCGGTTGCTCGTAGCATTGGATCACCGCCACCGGACTCTGATGACGACCGGGATGATTATCACATCTCGATGACTCGTCGCACGTCTGCCGGGCGTCGTTCAGCGCCCAAGTTTGACTCGGACTGGGATGATTGGGACGCGGACATCGATGACAGCGATGGGGATGGCGACACAACTTGGGAGAGCCCCGGACCACGTTCCCCGCTTGCCCATGTTCCCGCCAAAATTGAAGTCAAAGAAGAACCCGAAGATCTTGACACAGCTCTAGGCGGTTGGTCTGACGAAGTTTGGACCGACTTGCCGATGGATGGACTGGATCCTGCCGATGTGAAAATTGAGGTGCAAGGCATGTGGGACTTGTCCTATGATGCCCACGTCAAACAGGAGGATGACCTGGATTCTCTGTCTCTCTCAAGCTCATTTGACAACTTCCGCGATCCTGGACCATCCTCGCCGCAGTCGCCACAGAATCTGCATCCGGCCTTTGCTTTCGGCTCGGCTCGGCGATTGAGCGATTCCTTTTGCAGGGATAGTGACACGCCAGAACTTGAACTTGATCTGGATGCGGCTCAATTCTACAGCACACTGCGACCTCGCTCCAAGACCGTTCCTTCGCTCTCGTCTTTCTTCTCCGAGACTACGGGCCCGACCAAGACCCAGGCACCGATGATAGTGACGCAGACCCTGGCATCGCTCATTCAGACCATGTCAATGAACTCCCCTACTGTGACCAGAGACTCGTTCTCGTTCCAGCCACCTTGCATCTCTCCTCAAGAGACAAGGTGTGAGGGATGGAGTTCAGATTCGGTGATCGTCCATACTTGTACACCGTGTTTTCCGGCCATCAGTGCCACACAAGTGGAAGGTGTGTTTGCTTATTTTCCTTGACGCTCGTGGACTCATCTTTCCGCAGGCATCTCGGTGTACCAGATGACCCTCGGGACTCAAATCGTGCTTCGGCGATTGGATACCGACTTTGTCAACCTAACTTCGATTGTCGCACATGCAAAGACACCTTATCCGGTGCTGAGCACGATCCCGAACGCTACAGTCATCACTCGTGGCTCTGCCTCTGTTCGAGGCACGTGGGTCTCAATCTCGGCGGCCCAGGCCTATGTCCGAGATCACCCGTTGTCCGGGAACGAGCTCGACGTGTTTCTGTCCGACGACCTTGCCTCTCGCTTCCCAAGTGCGCTCGCTTCGTTCTCTTGTGACCCTTCGCGTGGTACCGCTGTGTTTGGTCGTCACTTCGGATCGACTCTGCAGGCGACAGCGTTATGCGGTGGAAGTCAACACAAGGTTCCGGATGTCGCCACGTTCATGACGCTCAGTCCTCTTGTTCCCGCGTTACCACCTGCCGACAAGCCTTTGGAGCCTGAACAGCCTTTGACTTCGACCGAGCAGCAGATCTTCCGAGAGCTCTGTGTCACTACTGAATGGGATAAGGACGTCGTCGTCGTGGTTGACGATGTACCGTTGTCTCCGTTATCGGACGTTCCTGATGACATCGACGCTATCTCGAAACCTGAACCGGGCCGGCGGCCGAGGCGATCGCGGCGAGTCGCAGCCGTCAGTGCGACAAAAGGTCGCACTCGTAAGCGTCGGTAGCGTCTGGCGCACTGGTCCCCTATCTTTATTTGCATGGCCGACCCTGACTAGACTGATTGCCACTGTAGCTTATATTGTCACTCCCCCCCAGTACCATACTACTTTGACAGCCGAACTGCACTTCTTGCGGCATACCCCTACATTACACGGCCCCGTCCTTTTGCTATGTAGTAGTGTTGAGTTGCGCCGCTAGTTCGTTTTTTTGTTTTGATTTGGCCAACCCACGATAAATTGTATTGCTATGTTTTGGATTCGATACAGCACTCCCACCCCCAACGCCCATCATACTTTTGTAAGCTCCAAGTAAGTGCTAGATCTGATCTGCTGAGATGTGTCTGAATCTGGACCTGTGTTATCAACCGTTCGATTCTGCTCCTGCCCATAATGGCACAACGACTGCAGGGCGCAGAGTCGGTCTCTTTTCTCGAGTCTGGTGCGATCCGGCAGAGTCTGTTGCTCCTTAGACAGATCGGGGAGGCAAGTAACTTGGGGCCTCTGAAAGGCGCGTTCGGTCTACAATCAGAGACGTGGGCGTGGTGATGAGCTGTTTCCAGGTTTCGCGGGAATTGCTACTTTGTAAGTTCTTTCGAGTTCTTTCTCGCTAGATTTTCAAAGCCGGAGGGTCCTCGATACGTGCCAGGTGAACAAAACTATCCGCTGCGACCCGCGCATTCCGTGATTGACTAGCACATACTCAGACTGCGTCATCGAACAAGTCAGACGCGTCTAGTCTCGGACAAGATGTGGCTCAGCTGGCCTTGGCCGTGGCCAGTCAAGTCGAGGATAACAAAGCGGACATCGCGCAGGACGCGGAACTGTTGGACTCCATCAGAAAGCTGTGTCTGTACGCCGGTTTCTGAACGCGTGTACGTGCGCGCTTATGCTCGGAGACTGATATATGCCGGCTTGTCCAGGGAACTCGAAGCTGTGCATGCATCTCTCCAGGTCTCTCTCTTGAATACTCTGCTACTCGTGGCACTTTGTCGTCTTATTCTTCTCTTGCCAGACGCTCTTCAAACGAGATTCGTTGAGTTGGTTTGTCAAACAGTCTCAAGACCAGGTGAGACTGGTCAGGCTCCAGAGGGACATAAAAGTACGTCGACCAGGTCGCGGACTGCGAGACGCTGGAGCTGACGATCCCTCACAGCACGCGATCGACCTATTCTCGGTGACTTTCTTGCCATGATCAGGCTCTGCTGCTTTCTGAGACGCCCAAGCTCCAATCCTCCGTGAGATTGCAACATAGACTTACTCTGTCGGAAGACTTGGATGACGCACGAAGAAGTCGGATTCTTTCTGCGATACAAGACATGTGCCAGTCCGTGATGAGTGAAATGAAATCTGCGAAACAGGTGAGCAGGAGCGTGCGATCGACTACGTGTGGGTGATAACTGTTCACAGACGATGGAGACCTTGCCTCTGATTCTGTGATCATTCAAATCGGTCGATGTACACGGACGCTGACCTCTTTTGCAGCGCCCCAGTTATCCCTCGAGTTCCTCGATGTTTCTTTGGTCGAGAGGAGACCGTTGAGACAGTCATCGGCGCCCTTGTTTCTGCGTCACCTGCAAGGATAACGATCCTCGGAGCGGCTGGTCCGTTCTCTGCTCCGTCGATTGCTAGCGTCTCATCTCCATTGTAGGGATCGGCAAGACCAGTGTAGCGATCATGGCCCTGGTCAACCCAAGTGTTGTGGAATGTTTCGGCGACCGGCGGTATTTCATCTCCTGTGATTCGGCGTCAAGCACAGACGACTTGGTGTCTATCATCGCCGGCTCGCTGGGTCTGCAAGGAAGCCGACTACGGAAGAAGATCATCGACTTTTTCGCCGCGACGGAGCAGCGTTCTGTGCTGGTCCTCGACAATTTTGAATCGCCATGGGATGCCGGCCCGGAGAACAAGAAGGCGGCTGAGGAGCTGCTGGCTTTGTTGTGCTCCTTGGACACACTGGATGTAGTTGTCACGATGCGCGGTGCAGAGCGCCCTGCTGGTGTGCAGTGGTCGAGGCCGTTCCTCCCTCAACTGGGACCCCTCGACAACTCGGCTGCTCGCAAGGCTTTCCTGGCGCTCTCAGACTGTTTAGAGAACGACGACGGGATCGATCAGTAAGCAATCTTTGTTGCGGATCCCAGTGCTCATTGGCGCAGATTGCTAGCTGTCGTCGATAATGTACCGCTGGGGATTGTGCTCATGGCCAATCTGACAGAGACGGACAGCACGGAGACCTTGTTCGACCGCTGGCGCGAAGAGCAGACGTCTTTGCTTCATCGGACCGCTGATCGCTCATCGAGTTTGGATGTCTCAATCAGTATCTCGCTAAACAGCCCTCGGATGAAGGCAGAGCCCGAGGTTCGTCGCAGCGCCATCTTCGACTCCATCTGATTGCGCCCAGGCACTGGTACTGCTCAGTTTGCTATCAGTCTTGCCTGATGGAATCGAGAATCGCCAATTAGGTGCGATCTTCCCGAATCTCACCAAGTCTCGGCGGGCTCTGTCCACCCTATGGCACACTTCTCTTGCTTACAACGATGGAAACAACCACACTCGCGTGCTTGCACCCATCCGGGCCCATATGCGAGTCCACTATCCTCCTAGCGAGATGCATCTGCTGCCGGTCTACACTTACTACATGGCATTGGCCGGTCTAGCCTGCGATTTGGGGTGCGTCCCTCAGCGTTTCTTGCGCCGAGTCCAGTGACAGAACGTCGTCAGCGGGCCGCACGGACAGGACATCGTCAAGAAAATCGTTCCTGAAATAGGGAACATCCATTCGGTCGTTGATCTGGCGCTCAGAGACACCCAACCAGCTCTTATCCGTGCTGCTATCGATGCTGCGATAAATCTCGCGAAATTCCTGCGGTACACTCAACTGGGGAATCCAGATACCATCGGTCTGGCGAGCTCTGTGTTGAAGCATCTAGATGATCCTATCCTACAAGCGGATGTCCTGTTTAATCTTTCATGGGTCAAGTTGGTCGTGGCAGGAGATAGCCCTGAAGCAGAACAATTGTGCAACGACGCACTGGCGATTTACGAAACGCAGGAGAATCTTGACGGCCGAGCACAGAGTACTTGGCTTTTGGGGCAGATACTCAAGACGAGCAAGCGACAGAAAGAGTGCAAACTGAAGTTCGAAGAAGCGCTCGCTTTGGCCACGGAAGCACAGAACCAAAACTGTCGGGCAAAATGCCTGTCCTGCTTATCCGAAGCTCAGTTCCATGCTGGAGATGCTGCAACAGCCGAAGCGCTCAGTCTGGAGGTGCGACCCCACCAGACCAGTGCTGCATTTAGTCTCACATAGAATTCCAGGCTTTGGAATTGTTCCGACAGGAAGAGCATCTCACAAACATTGGGATGACGCTGTATTTCCTCGGGAGAATCGCAGATTTCAGGGACGACGCATCTGCCGAGGAGCGTTACGAAGAGGCAGAAGCTGTGTTACAGCAAGCAGGAGCCAGCAGCCATGCAGCTCTTGCTCTTATTGGCAAAGGAGACATCTTGGTCGCCCGATGCCAGTATCGGGAGGCACAACAGATCTACACCAAAGCTGTGCAGGCCTTCCGGACAAACAGCTCGCTTCAAACGACATACGGTGCATTTGCCCAGTTATCTCTAGGCACAGCGGAGGCATATTTATACAATTACACCGAAGCCAAACGCTGGCTGGATGCGGCTTGGAAGACCTTTGAAAAGACTCCGGTGGTCGCACACGGTCGGATGCATCTGGATATAGTATTTGGTTCGATCGTCCCGAGTCAGGACAGATTCCAGTCACTGACAGACCACCAGGGGATGTAGCCATGTTCCAAAATTCCGTAATGGAAGCTGCCACAATGTATCAGCGCGCGCTGACATCTGCGGAGTCCTTGGGATTATCGGTAGAGGAATCTCAATGCCGCGTTAAACTCGGCGCAGTTCGTGTGATGCAGGGGCAAGTCCGCGTCGGACTGCAGCATTTGCTGGTCGCAGCGGCGAAGCAGCGTAAAGCACAGAACATCAAAGGCATCACCGAAACAATGGTCCGTCTCGGTGAAGCCTTCGAAGCGGATGGAGATCACCCGGCCGCCCTAATGATATTCCGCGCAACCTACCCAGCCGTCAGCAAAACAGGCGCATTGCGCTCGACGGCAGATTGTTTGCTAGGACTTGGGAGACTGTGCAGCGACCGAGTATATGTAGACAAGGCTGCCCAGCTATATCAGCAGACTGACGACCCCAAGGGGCGCGAACGCTGTAGAACTCTCGTTCAAAGACTGTAGTGTTCCAATGGCCATGGATTCCACTCTAACGACGCACCATAAAACTTGGGCCCTGCATTTTCTTATGCGAGAACAGGGATCTCTCAGTCTACGCGCGGTTTTCCAGAACGAAGATCGAAGTAGCTTGTAACGTGAGTATCAGATGGAAGCAGTCAAAGAAGGCATCGGACGCGCGTCGGCGGTCACGGTGGTAAATTCTTGTTTGGTCCTGTGTTTCAGATCAGCTGCAGGACCTGAGGTCTCACATCTCCCTCATCCACACCTCTCCGCTATAGTTTTGTTTCTGTACAAACCATCGTCGACGCCGTCGACTTAATTGCCTCCCTTCGGCAACTCTCACATTTAATCCCTAATTCTTCTCTTCTACCACTATAATCGACATGTCTCTCTCTGCCGACAACAGCGCATTCAGAGCGCCTCCCTCGGGCAAGACACCTCCGCCAGCTCCTTCTGCCGCATATGCAAAGAGGTGCGACTAAAAGTCGCGTTTTTCTTCTATCTTCCTCACCTCAAATCGGATCAGGGCACGGGAGTTGCAAGCAGAGGCGGGATTGAGTGGTCGATACCGGCCGCCTGCGCTGCGCGCTCTCGAATCTGGCGGATCGCCTCCTAACGAGGTATCCCCAGCCGTCACGACGCCAGGTGATGGCACAGCCCTCCCTCCGACCAATTACCCCCCAGGTTTCCGGAGGGCAAGGGCTGGAACCTTACCCTCCAACGTCCAACTTGCCGCCCAGCGCTACGCCGCCGCATCCAGTACCTTGGGTACCCTGACATCGTCTTCTGAGTCGCTTCTTGAACAGTCTCAGCGGCAGATGGTGGCACCTCCTTCCCTGGCACCTTCGCGTCCTGGCTTGCGTCACTCGACTTCAGTGGCTTCTTCCGTAGCTTCCACCGCAGCTCGGGAGCCAAACAGCCGCCTTCGGTCTGGTTCATTGACTCTCCCCACTGGTGGGCTTTCCAATGCATTCGGTCCTTCGATATTCTCCTCCTCGTGGCTGTCCTCTGGCGCAAACGGCGGTTATTCAGCTCTCGACGAATTGCGCTCTGTCACTTCGGCAGATTCCACCGACGAATTTGATGTGCACACTCTCGACTACCTGGGGCTGGACGATAGACCCCGTCCACCGCCTGCGGCGACTATTTCGGAGTTGCGCAATCAAGCTCAGGCTGCGCTCCTTGCTGGCAATCGTATGCGCGCGACGACTGTTTCGAATCCGTATCGCAGCCGCCCCCCGATCCCATCGTCTGGACATCTCACCCCCGCTGGCAACGAGGAAGAGGAGTATTTTGACACATATGATGATGGCTATCGCCAGCATCTGAACACTGACACCTACGTGCAAGATGCAGGTTACGGTTCTTCGAACTATCTCACCAAGTCATACAAGCCTGCGGAGCATCTGGCCCCGACCCGACCCCGTGCCATCTCTGTCGGCGTGCTCGACGACCCCATGCGCTCTTTGCAACGGCGGGCCAATGCTGTCGAGGCGCATAACTACATGAATGAGCTGTCTCATCAAAACTCTGGCCTGTCCATCACGACGAACAACAATCCTGGCAGCATCCTCAAGGCGAACGCTAAATTGGCGCCTCAGGCTGTGGCTTCTCCCACAGTGCACTTTCCAAATGGGGGTGATCTGGCGTCCAGGGTCTCCAACTATCTGATGGCACCAGGTGGTTCTCAGGCCACTCGATCTTCTTCCCCCAAAGCGGAGACCCCTGCATCTCAGGTTCAGACCCCGAGCCGGTCATTGTGGATTGGTAATCTGGACGGGGTGGTCACGAGCGAGCAGCTTATTCACGTATTTGCACCGTATGGCGCAATCGAAAGCCTGCGGCTCTTACCGGAGAAGGTTTGTTCCATTGGCGCTTCTCTTTGTCGCTCTAATTTTGCGCGCAGGAGTGTGGGTTCGTCAACTTCGTGGACCAAGCGGACGCAATTCGCGCTAAGGACGATGTTCTCAACCGTCTTGGCGGAAACATCGGCATGCCCAACGGTCAGACCGTTCGGATTGGCTTTGGGAAAGCTGACAGCGCACCCGTCGCTCCGGCCAAAGGCAATCCGACTAGTCCGGCACCGGCATCACCCGGCGCCAGCAAACCTGCGAACTCGAACGCGGCGCTGGGTGGCATGGAGCTTCAGTCGACTCCAACTCGGGCGCTCTGGATTGGATCCATCCCATCAACTACTACTCCGGCAACGATCCTCAGCGTGTTCAGCCCGTACGGTCCGATCGAATCTGCTCGAGTGCTTACGCACAAGAATTGCGGCTTCAGTAAGCGTTTGTCATCCTCCTTCGTTAGTCGCAACTGATCACACGCCAGTCAACTTTGAGCGTTTGGATGATGCTGTGCGAGCCAGGAAAGCACTGAATGGTCGAGACGTTCTGGGCAGCGATGTCGGCGCGATCCGGATCGGATTTGCCAAGGTTCCCGTCAAAAACGGAGCTGACACGAGCAATGCCGGAGAAGAAAACTCGACCCTTGCTGTCCAGGCCGTCGGGGACCTGTCCGTGGGAGCGACCATTCATGCGCTTCGAACTGTGAAGGGTGCGATCACTATCCCTGCGGATCAACAGGTTCTCGGGGGCGCGGTTGAGAATTATCGGTCAAACTTGCTGCTGAGCATGATTGCGGCCGGCGCCCATAATGCTTACGCAACCGATGCGCGAGGACCGTCGGTTACGGAGCAGCAGATGATCATGAAGCAGTTGACGGCCGGCAGCCTCGATGCTGAGCAGGATGTCATGGCTTTGGCCGATTTCCGCCCGCCCACGATGTATTACACGACCATCCCGCTTGTCTCTGAACGACCCCACAGCCGGCGCTGGGATGCATCCAAGCTGCGCGAGCTCCGTAAGCGTTTGGACTCTGGGACCATGACAGTCGAGGAGATTGATCAGGTCGCGACCGATTTCCTCGAGGGCGAGATTGTCGATCTGGCTTCTGACTGGCTCGGAAACACTGTCGTCCAGAAATTGTTCGAGCGATGCTCGCCTGCACCTCGGTTCTCGATGCTGGAGCGCATTTCCCCGAATTTGGCCATGATTGGCATCCACAAAAATGGCACTTGGGCTGCCCAGAAGATCATCGAGTGTGTTCAAAGCCCCGAGGAGATTTCGATCATCACGCAGAACCTGCGGGCGTACGCTCCGCCGCTTCTGCTTGATCAGTTCGGCAACTATGTCGTGCAGTGCGTGCTTGTTTGATGTGATGTATGGTTCATGGCTGACTATCCGGCGCACAGATGCTGCTTGCGATTCGGAGCGCCCGCGAACGACTTCATCTTCGATGCCATTGTCGACCGCATGTGGGAAGTTGCGCAAGGTCGCTTCGGTGCTCGGAGCATGCGAGCTTGCTTGGAGAGCCCGCACATCACCCTCAGCCAGCAGCGAAGGGTTGCGACGGCAATCATCCTCAACTCGATCCCGCTCGCAACCAATCCGAACGGCGCGCTTCTGCTCACCTGGCTTCTGGACACATCAGGCTTCCCCTCGCGGTACAACCTCCTTGCTCCCCGGTTCACTCCGCATCTCTCACATCTGTGCACCCATAAACTGGCATCCCTGACCGTGCTCCGGATCGTCAACCAAAAAATCGAGCCGGATGCGTCGACGGAGATTGTCGAGGCGCTGTTCTCGTCTGCAGGAGACCATGTTCTGGCCGATGTGCTCGGCGACCAGGTCAACGGTGTCTCTGTCGTGCACAAAATTCTGACCAGTCCGTTCATCGACCCGATCTTGAAAAACAACTACATCGAGGCGACCAAGCGGGTTCTGATTGAGCTGAAGGTGATTGCGACCCAGGCGTATCGGCGGTTGATTGAGGAGGTTGGGTTGCCGGTGCCCAACTTCCAGCCGACGTACTCTGCCGCTGTCCCTGGCAATGGCAAGAACAAGTCAGCCGCGAACAACGGGTACGGGGTGCCCGGACTGCCATCGGGATATCCGTCGAACGACCAAGGCCTCGCGTCGATGATGGCCGCCCTGCAGATGGGTGGACAGAATTCCCAGGCCGGGCCTGCTCAGCTCCAGATCGACCCGTCCTACGCGAGTCCCAACGCGCCTCGTCGAACCAACAGCACGGGACCCGGCTACTCTCCGGACCTCTTCAGTCCGTTCGGTGGCCGAGGAGAAGGCGATGGCATGCGGGGAGGGCGACGCAACACCCCGAACGGTGCGATGCCGAGTCCTGTGCCCTACGGAGCGCCGTCGCCGCCGCCGATGATGGCGCAGCCGACCTACGGAGCCATGCCTGGACACGTGTATCACCAAGGGTATATGTATGCGCCCTACCAGCAGCCTCCGCAAACGTATTGAATTGATGACCGTCACGACACCCTATTCCATCGTTTGAAACCAATATCTATTCCCCGGGCCAGTGTGCCTCTTGGTTATCTTAGGATTCTTCTCTGCGTTACCATATACATACTCTTTTTTCCTACTTGTACAACAGTCTGGTCTGCTAGCCAGTTATTCCATGCAATAGACTCGCTTGTCATTAGTCATCTTTCTTCTGAACTCCGTCATGGGCAGCTCATCCTCCAAGGCAGCTCGATCACTTCCCAAGCGCGCGACGGCGACGACACCACCCCCATGGTCCGGTGCGCGCCCTGTTCCTCGCACAGAGGGCGTCGCGAGCGAAACTAAAACCAAGGGCAGAGAGACGCGTCTGCGATGATATTGCACGTATCTGACCGCGCCTATTCGCAGTCATCGAGGAGGATGCCCAAGATCCGCACTTCTTGTCCAAGCTCAGTCAGCTCGGTCAGGTGAAGGTGGACCACAACATGCAGACAACGCGCCCTGTGAGCTAGACTAGGTCATACTATGAGTTGGCCGTGCCCGCTTACGCTCCTTCACTTCAGGCAACTGTCGCCAGCCAGATGTACAAAACGCGCGTCCAGTCTGAAACAGACGCGGAATCACCGACGCCAATACGCAACCGCATGCCAGCGCCCCGGCTCAGTCTCCTGCTTGACCAGCGCAAATCAGTCAAGACGCGACGTGATATGGAGTTCCTTGCGGCTCGGTACGGGCTGGATTTGGACATGCTGGATGCAGTCGCCAAGTTCGTGAACACGCCTAGCGTGCAGCAGAGCGATATGGCGAGATCGGTGGGCGCTGCCGACCACAAGCAGATTCTGCGGGCTGTTTGGGTAGAGCCGACTTTGAAGGGCTAAAGACAACAAGCTCGGACTGGTCTGCTCACATTCTATTAGAACAAGATACACCGAGCATAGTATGCACATCCTAGAGACAGATAGGTAGAGGTACATATGTGAGTAGTACATATGTGGATGATGGTACAGAGAGAATAAGATAAAACAGCCCCTGCGAGCTGCTGCAAATGCCAGATACGAGAAACACGCGCAATCAAGCCGTGGCCTTCTTCGCATTTGACCGCGGCTTCGGTGCTGCACGAGAGGTCTGAACAAACAATCAGCAATCGCTCTGGCTTCCAGTTGATGATTCGTACCTTCTTTGCGGGGGCGGCCTTGGCTGCAACCTTGGCTTTGGTCGCAGGTGCAGCCTTCTTGCCAGTCACTGTCTACAAAGTTTTCAGCATCGGATCTCACAAGACGAACAAATACACACCTTCTTGACTGCAGCGGCCTTGGATGAGGTCTTCTTCGCAGGAGCAGCCTTAGTGGCCTTGCCTGCGAGGACCTTCTTGGTGGGAGCAGCCTTGTCGGCCTTGGTTGTAGTGGTCTTCTTCGTCGTCGACACAGCCTTTGCTTTGGTAGCCACGGGCTTCGTCGCAGCCTTTGCCTTAGGTTTAGCTGCTGGTTTGGATGCAGCAGCCTGGGGCTTGGTGGCCTTGGTGGCAGACTTCCCAACAGTAGCAGCTTTGGTAACCTTGGACACAGGCTTCGAGTTTTCTTTCGTATCGTTTCGGACCTTGGGTGCCAGCTTCACGCAACCAGATGGACCCTAGGAAATCCATGGTGAGTTGAGAGCAGAGCACAAAAGCGGCCGTAACCTACTTTAGGCTGGACGAACAGGCCGGCTTCGACACCAGACACCAGAGCGCGGTTCAGGTGAGCGATGTCGGACGAAGTATTCAGCTGGTAGGTATCCTCGGCATACTAGCCCAGAGAATGAGTACGAGACGAGAGGATACACAAAACACGCACTTTCTTGAGGGTGGCACGAGACACGCCCTGCCGAACTGTGTCTTTGTTGTTGACGATGCATTCCTGTTCAGAGGATGAGCAGAGGGTATGGAATAACTGGGGATCGAATACCTTGATAATGTCACGGAACGAAGGATGAGCGGGAGTTGCCTTGGGCGAGGAGGACGATTTAGCCTTGGCGGCGGGCTTGGTCTTGGTCTCCTTCTTAGCTTTGGGAGCAGCGGCCTTCTTAGTAGCTTTCTCCTTCTTCGGAGGCTGAGCAGCGATGGGAGACTCAGGAGCGGGCGAGGAGACAGGCGAGCTGGCGGACATGTTAGGGTTCGCGAGGAGAGGAAGCGTAGATGATGTTGGGGGGTTGGTAGAGGATTTGTCTTGTGTTCACCTTATCTGTCCCCTATATAATAGGTCAGGTGAGAACCACGTGAGGGCGCGTTTGTTGATATTCAACACTGCCACTACACTGCCACTCAAGATGTGTTGTGAGGACTCGCCTTGCATGGCGGCGAGTGGCCTAGTCTCTCTTAGACCCGATAAATGTCATAGCGAAACTTGTTGACATTGCATGTTATTTAGTGACACTGCATCGGAAGAACGCTGGGTACAGCGCAGAGACGCGTTATTTGTGGTTATGTCATTGACATCCCCTTAGAGAGCCAATCGAAATGCGCCGTTGGTTTGCACTGTCATGCGCAGCCCAGTGCCGATCCATCCGTCCTCCTCTCCCGTTTCGATATTGACATAGCTCGTCTCCATACTAGTCAGTCTTCCGACTGGGGGTCCCCGCACCATGAGAATGCCCGACGGATTCTCGCCGCTCTCAACACGATCGTCCTCTACGCCGACCAGCTTGACCTCGACATTGATCCCTGGCGGCCCAGTATGAGCCGGCCCGGTCGATTCCGGGTCCAAGTCCTGCACGTCCAGCGCATGTGACGCAAGAACCGGCGCAGCGACCAACGGATGGGAATAGCAATTAATGATGGGAATGGACAGCGAGATCCGCGACGGAGCCAACTCGTTTGCGGGGATGGAACCTGCAAGATCCGTTGAGAATATCTCCAGACAGCAAATAATAAGATACCGACTCACCCTCGCTCGAGATAATCGCCCGCAGAGCATTGGATCCGTCTCCAATAGCTTTCGCACGAGCAGCATCGAACACCAGTCGGTCCCACAGTCCATCTTTGGCAATGAAACCTTCCGACATACTGGCCATTTTGTGTCTCCATGCGAATGGATACAAAAACGACTTGCGGGATTCCTTGGAAACAGCGTTGACCAGCGCCTGCACGTGTCCAGGCTTCACAAACAACACGCTTGCAGGAGGTATCGGATAATTTCTACTCGAAAGAACGTCTTGCAAATCAATTCGGGAGGTGGCTGGAGTTATTCATCAGCTACCGGCTGCATGAAATGGGAGGCACACACAATCTTCGTCGACAAAGAGCTTGGCGCTATCGAGCGTGGCGAAACTGGTGCCCTCATACAATGCCGTGTATGCAATCGCTCGTCCATATGCCGTACTGATCGAATGAGCGGAGATAATGGTGTCCAATTGGGTGAGAGTGTGTGACAGAGGCAGCATTGCTCGGACTGCAGCTACCCCAGCGGTAATGTTTTCATGGGAAAGTTGAGCTCCTTGAATCTGTCCCGACTCAGAAGCGAAGAACGACACAGTGAACACGTCGCTGGGTTCTGTGCATGGATGAGCGTCGTGACCAGACAGGCAGTCCATACTGACTCGGAATAGGGCTCAGAATTTTCTCAGTCTTGACCCCTTCGCGTTCAACATCGGCCCATCTCAGAACTTGGACTCGGCTTGCAACACTGGCGAGGGCCTGCGAGCTTGGTTCTCCCACGACAATGATAGTATGGTTCCGATTGGCCTCGCCCGCGTCATAGATCAGTTCAAGAACCGAGGTCAGCAACGACGCGTGGGTTACGATTGCAGATGGGGGGTGCGATTCCAACACAGGCGCTAGCAGGGTGGACGATGACAGGGTGAATGATGGAATGGAGTGCGACGCGAGGGCAAAGTCAGCAATAACGAACTCTGCGCGCGCGAGTTCTATCAGTATGTCAGGCCAAGAGTTAAGATATGCGCACCGACGCAATCATTCAGCAATAGCAAGACATTGGATTCTCCCACCTCCAAACCTGCCAGTCGCAGAAGGCCTGTGCCGAAGGCCGCGATTCGGTCTTGAAGAACGGGGTTGCTAACCTTCGTAAATGAGAACATCGAACACATCCAGATACTGGGAACGCGCACTTTGGTCGACCAGAGGGTTCGCGGCGCGTCCGAGTCAGGTTTCAGCATGTCTGCAAGAATGTGCACATCCTTTGCCGGTCGAAGCGGGAACTATGACAAAGGTTCAGACGCCAAACCTGCAGGATAGAGCGTATTACAGACCCGACCCATTAATCCAGTGCCATAGTTTCGATAGACAGCACTCTCTCCGGGATTGCGCACGCGTGCAACGTCACTCTGACGCCCAAGGAGGATGGGGTGGATGGAAGGCTGAGGCTTGTAGAGATTGTTCAGTAGAAATACGGTAGCTGCGATGAGTCCAAGTAGGATGGTCGTATCGTCCGTAGCCAAGTATTCTGAGAACAGAGCGGACATAGCTCGGTAGCGAGTGTGCTCAGGAAAAGTGGGTGCTCGTAATACTAATCCACGCCGAAGCACGGATGGATACCGGTTTGATGCATTGATCGAGAAACTTCCAAATTTGTCCGTGAATGCTTTGCGCTAGTTTTCCTCCCTCTTCCTCATACCATTGCACGCAAAGAGTCATCCAACCACGCGAGCAATAGATGAAACGACTAACCCCTTCCATATCCACATTCTAGTACTTGTATTGAAGCACTCGATCGACTAACACCCGAAGATCATCAAAGCCGTTGCTTCGCTATTGCCTACCCTGGCCTTCAATCTGTCGTCCTCAGAGCACCTATGTGGCTCCTTTTGAACCTCCTGCATAACCTTTATCCTCTTCTTAACCCTCCTGTACACGCTATGCACCCTCTGTTTCCATTCGTGCCACGAACTGGACCGTGCACGACCAAGACTCCACGTGATCTGCCTTGGTGAACGAATCGGAAGTCAACGTCTCTTATTCCCTCCCCTTCTCCCCTCTGTTCTCTCCACTCGGTTCCCCAACCTCATCAGCTCAATGCCCACATCAAACATCAAGACCAAAGCCAAGGTGGCCACCAAGGGCTCTATTGTGCCCAAGAACAAGAGCGTCAGCACCCATCCACCCTGGATAGATATGATAAAGGTTTGCCGCCCGTTGCTACCCTTTGCGCCGTCCAATGGGGCCAAATCCTGTCTGTCTTTCAGGAATGCATCATCGCCCACCCTGAAGAAGCCAGAGGCGGAGTATCGCGCCCCATGATCAAGAAGGTCAACCTCAACACGCACTCGACTCGTGTTGTCGCTATAACTTAGTTCAACTGCTAAACTCCGTTACAGTTTGTCGAGTCCAAGTATAAGGTCGAGGTCAATGCTGCTGCTGCGAGTCAGCTCAACCGCGCTATCACGTCTGGAAGCGAACGCGGGCAATTCGTATTACCGAAGGGTTCGGGACCACCTCACTCAGGTCGGGATATCCGCTCATACGTCAGTCAGGACCCTCCGGGAAGGTGAAGCTCACACCTAAGGTCCGTGGGGAGGCTGCCAAAGAGGTGCGCTCACCTACTGTGTCTTCACTGCTCTTGACATCGCCCATAGAACTCGAAACCAGTCTCGAAAGCTGTGAAGCCGCCCCCACCTGCTAAACATGTGACCTCCAAGGCCCCGGCTACTTACATGGTCAAAGCTAAGCCCAAGCAAGGCACGACAACGACCACTGCCAATAAATCGGCGGCCACTTCCAAACCATCTGCGAAGAAGTCAGTTCCGGCGAAGAAGACTCTCAAGCCCAAGGCGACTGTCACCAAGAAGACGGCGGCACCCTCTAAGCGTGCTCCAGCGAAAAAGGTCACCGGACTGACTGTTTGGGGCGTCGCTTTTTGTTGATGATCGCCAGGCCGTCGTTGGAAAGAAGTCTGTTACCGTCAAGAAACCAATTATGAAGAAGCCAGCAGCAGTTAAGAAGGCAGCACCCTCGACCAAGAAGGTCCGTCGCTCGTTACTGTTACGCATCGACCGAGCTAAGCATATTCTGTAGCCCGCCACGGAAAAGTCCAAAACAACCAAAGCGGCGCCCGTCAAAACCAAGGGCAAACGCTCTATCAAGGCAGAACCCGCTAAAGCCGTCAAGTCGACGAAGAAGGTGGCTGCCTAGGCTGGATGAATTACTGAGATTGCTCCTGGTATTTATTATATCTTGGATACTCGCTGCGTTGCTGTACTTATATCCTGTATCTGATTGCTGTTTGCTTTCTCACATATATAGAATACGACTGAACTACGTCCCCGTGGCTAATCCCTCGAGAATGCGAATGAAAGCGCTAGGGTCCACAATATCTGTGCCTCCATAAGTGACCCGCTTCCCCGTCGTTGCTGCCCATTCTTCAAGATTTCCGTACTCGACGTAGCCAGCGCCGCCAACAACGAAAACCACACTCTCAGCAAACGCCATCCGCCGGCTTCGTCCGGTTCCAGCCCCGCTGCCCCCAATTCCACCAGGGCCGATTGCCGAAGTCCGTGGCGCACGAGGATCCAAGAACAGAAAGTCGTCGGTTTCTTGCAAGGAAGAATTTGATGCACTGGCAGAGTCCATGAGAGCCTCGGTCACACGGGTAACGGGCAGCAGCTTGTTCGTGGGCAAGAAGTTCTTGACCCCTGAGATCAGGCCCTCAAAGCCTGTCGTCGCGAATCGGTCCGTTAACTGAAGAAGTCAGATTGGGAGCGACCTCGGGTATCCCAAAGGGACGAACCTTGTTTCCAAGCGCACTGAAGCCTTTGAAGAGCTCGCCGCCCGCCGATTCATTGGCCGGAGTGCCTGGTCCGGTGGCGACAGAGAACGTTCCCATGCTCATCCGTTCCACCTCACGCAACTTGCGCACATATTCAAAAGCGCCAATGTTGGCACCAGAGCTCTTCAGCTCTTTTTCCAGTTCGCTCACATCATCCTTCGACAACATGTTGTCTGACCCTCGAGAAAGATAAAATGTGACCACTAAGCGCAGCTTGTCCTCGGCAGACAACGCAGGAGAATCTCCACGCAGAGTGCTCATGATGGTTTGCATGGACTGTCACACAAAAATAAAGACGGGAACCGGAGGACGACAATCAAACGAACCTGTTTGTTGATGGCCTCCTCAATGCTGAACAGCTCGTCTAGGCCTCGCTGTTTGATGTGCTC